CGCTCCACTCCGCATCCCGCCTCGAGCTCACCCGCCTCGCTCGGGCTCTGCCCTTTACCGTCGGCAAAGGCCCCAGGCACCCTGGACTCCACTCAGTCCTGTGAGCCCGTCCCACAGTGGGCACCTACTGTGTACCATGCCCCGCGCCGGGCACTTTACCCATGGCCTATCAATCAAACCTTGTCTCTCAAACTGGTAAACTGAGGCTTAGAACTGCTAATTGACAGTCTAGGTAGCAAAGCCGAGAACTTTGGGGCGGAAACTGCAACCCGGGAGGGAAATCTGTCCAGAGGCAGAACCCCCTGCCAGGGAGGCTGGGACGGAAAGAAGGCTGAGGAGAAACTGAGGCGGAGGCAGGGGTACGGGGTGGGGGAAGGCTGGAATCTTTCTGAAGGACAGCGAGGGGCCCCGCCAGAGCCGATGTGCCCATCCCCCACCCCGGCGCCCCGCCTCTCTTCTCTCTCCGTTTCCCTAGCCTCCCCTCCTCCGGCTGCCACGTTCTGGGGTTACATAACCCGAGTAGAGGAGACCGAGTCGATACCCGGCGGGCTGAGGCCGGGGGAGGGCGGGGAGGACGAGACTTGATGGGCGTCCTGCCCTGCCCCGCCCCGAGCTTTTCTAGGAGCCCGCAGCCCTGGGTCTCTGTCTTCGGGACCACTTCGGATCCCGGGATTCCAGAGCGCAGGACCCTCCCCATCCCTCTCCGAGGCCCCCTTTGGCTCATCATTCCAGGGTCGCCTCCCCAGCTGAAGGAATTCGTTCTCTGTGCGCCTCTGGCCGGCGCTTTGCCATTGCAAGTATCGTGCCAGGGAGACACTGCCATCCCCAAGTAAGACGCAATGCCCAGAGGTGACCGGGAATCCTCTAGAGTGTGGTAGGGTGTGGGGGAGGGGGGAGGGGTGGATGTTGGGGAGAAGGGGCTTGAGCAAATGTTTCTGCAAGATCACTACCCATATGAACAATTTGAATTACTCCATCGGCCTGTCAGCACCCATCTCGCTGGATCTTTCAAAAGAAATATGCGCTCCCGGAACTGAGACCAACCCTCAGTAACAAACCCCAGTCTCATAGATGCAAGTCCCGGAGCTCCTGGAGGTTTGTGGTCCACCCTATGCGCTCTGGGTGGAGAACTTCTGAAAGGGAACTGGGACAGGGCCCACATGGGTCCTGCTCCCGCCTTAGAGCAGCCGGCCTGGATGCCACTGCTGGGTACCAGGCACCAGAGAAGGATTTAGTAAAACTCAAGGAAGGCGTGCCAAACCTGAGGGTCCCAAAGCACCCAGCCAAGTCAGTGGCAGAAAGACAGTCCTGTGGCCCCAGGCCTCGGGAGGTGGGAGGTCAGGAGAGACTCTGGTGGAGCTAGAAGCAGGTCTGTGCAGGTCTTGAGGCCTGCTCCACCTCCTGCCAAAACCCAGTCTGGCCCCTTCCCTGGCTCTGCTCCACCCTCATCCAAGTTTTACGGAGGGGTGCGAGAAGGTTGAGGCAGAACCTGGGAGGACAGGTCAGCCTCCTAAGGCTCCCACGGCCTCCAAGCCCTTCCCCACACAGCAGCCTAATTGTCCCAGTGAGCTCACCTTCCAGGGGTTCCTGAAAAGGTTCTTCCCCTACCACACCTTTCTCACCTCATTTCTCTGTGTTCTCCCCCAGCTCATATCCCTGCAGTCACACAGGCATCCTAGTTGTTCATGGAAGGCACAAGACCCATCCAGCTTCAGGGCCTTTGCACTGGATCACCAAGTTTGCATCCTTCACCCATCATTCAGATGGCTTTTCTTTTTGTTTATTTTTGGTTGCTCTGAATCTTTGTTTCTACACAAGGGCTTTCTCTAGTTGCAGCAGAAGGGGGCTACTTTTCATTGCAATGCTGGGGCTTCTCATTTCGGTGGCTTCTTTTATTGCAGAGCACAAACTCTAGGCACTCGGGGCTCAGTAGTTTCTGCTCCAGGGCTCCCAGTAGTTGTGGCGCACAGGTTTAGCTGCTCCTAGCATGTGGAATCTTCCCAGACCGGGGATCAAACCCCTGTCTCCTGCATTGGCAGGCAAATTCTTCACCACTGAGCCACCAGAGAAGCCCCCAGATGGCTTTTCAATGTCACTCTCTTCCCTGACCATTCTGACAAAATTAGCCTCCATCCTTCACATGTAAACAGCAGTCTGGAGTACCATTTGGGAAAAGGTCTGGGCAGTGGGTCCACTCCATGAGTGAAACTTAAAATTGCAGTTTCAGTGGTTCCCACTTATAATCCTGGGCTGCAAACTGAGTTGGCGCACAAAAATGCAGTTCTGGTTTTACTTTAACATTTTTACCAAGCCATTTATCTTGTGAGTCCTGGGGTTTTGTTAAACCCTAGGTGCACTTGGCCAGGCCTCCAGAGCTCAAGAATTTCAAGACTTGCTCCTTTTCTTATCTAATGTACTGCCTGACCAGCTGTTGGTTTCGGGCTAGTCACGGGCTAGCATGGAATCCCGGCAATGTCCAGGCAGGTTAGAAGCAGGTCAGAGGCCTGCTCTCCTATTTCTGAATCCTGAACAAGATTTCCTCCATTTTAATTTCCCTAACAGTTGTCCTCAGGATTGTTTAGGCTGAAGAGCATAGAAATAAGACAAAATAACATGAGCAGTCTTGCTAATTCTATAGGTCAAATAACAATTCCAAAGGGTCAAAAGAATCAAAATAAAGATACAAGCAAGAGGTTAAACTGCAGAAAACCATTTCTGAGCAGCAGGGAATATAGTAAAGAAAAAGTCCCACCATGAGTGAGAAATATATTTTTGTACATTAACTCTTATATCCATTAACTTATCGTCTGTACTAGTTAGCTTGGTGCAAAACTAATTGCGGTTTCAGACCATGAATTTCAAATTCATTATAACCAGACTCAAACACTTTTTTAGTAATCAAAATAGGAACCATTACAATCAACACGTTTGCCAATGAGAAATAAGTTTGTTTATCCCTGTAGCATAAAAATCCATGCTTTAGGATTTGATGAACTCTTGAAAAGCATTTTCTGCATCCTGTTCATTGTGGAAGGGTTTTCCCTGCAAAAAGTTGTTGAGATGTTTGAAGAAGTAGTAATCAGTTGGTGAGACGTCAGGTGAACATGGTGAATAAGGCAAAACTTCATAGCCCAATTCATTCAACTTTTGGAGTGTTGGTTGTGCAACGTGTGATCAGGTTCTCTTGTAGATAAAAATTGGACCCTTTCTGTTGACCAATGCTGGCTTCAGGCATTGCAGTTTTCAGTGCATCTCATCAATTTGCTGAGCATACTTCTCAGATGTAATGGTTTCGCCAGGATTCAAAAAACTGTAGTGGATCAGACAGGCAGCAGACCACTGAACAGTGACCATGACCTTTTTTGGTGACGGTTTGGCATTGGGAAGTGGTTTGAAGCTTCTTCTCGGTCCAGCCACTGAGTTGGTCATTGCCAATTATATAAAATTCACTAAAAATAAATAAATAAATAAATAAATAAATAAATAAAATTAACTTTTCATTGCATGTCACAATTTGATTGAGAAATGATTCGTTGTTGTTACATGGAATAAGAGAAGACAACACTTCAAAATGACAATTTTAAAAAAATTTTTGGTCAGCTCATGAGGCACCCAGAGAAGGCAATGGCAACCCACTCCAGTACTCTTGCCTGGAAGGTCCCATGGATGGAGGAGCCTGGTGGGCTGCAGTCCATGGGGTTGCTAAGAGTCAGACATGACTGAGTGACTTCACTTTCACTTTTCCTTTCATGCATTGGAGAAGGAAATGGCAACCCACTCCAGTGTTCTTGCCTGGAGAATCCCAAGGACAGAGGAGCCTGGTGGGCTGCCATCTGGGGTCGCACAGAGTCGGACACGACTGAAGCGACTTAGCAGCAGCAGCAGCAGCATGAGGCACCCACTTAGTGAGCTTTTTCACCTTTTCAGTTTGCTTCAAATGCCGAATGACCTTAGAATGGTTGTCATTGAGTTCTTTGGCAACTTCTGTAGTTGTAAGAGGATCAGCTTTGATGATTGTTCTAACTTGGTCGTTGTCAGTTTCCAATGGCTGGCCACTACACTCCTCATCTTCAAGGATCTCGTCTCCTTTGCAAAACTTCTTGAACCACCACTGCACTGTACGTTTGTTAGCAGTTCCTGGGCCAAATACACTGTTGATGTTGTGAGTTGTCTCTGCCGCTTTACAACCCATTTTGAACTCAAATAAGAAAATCACTTGAATTTGCTTTTTGTCTAACATCATTTCCATAGTCTAAAATAAATATAAAATAAGCAGCAAGTAGTAAGTCATTAGCAAAAAAAAAAAAAAAACATAAAGTGGGAAATGCACATTAAAATGATGTATAACATAACCACATTTATTTAAAAATGTATTACAATATCAAACAGCAAATTTCAACAATGTAAAATTGCAATTACTTTTGCACCAAGTAACACCTTCTATCAAAGTACAATTACATTTTTCTATGAAATTTTTTAATACTTTGGTTCCTTGCAAAATTTTAAGCAGGGGTTCTAAGGAGAAGCTAGTATTAGAAACAGACAAAGTAGGAAATAGCATTTGAGTTAATAACACCTAAGTTTTCATGGGGGGGTGGGAATAATAGGTGGTCCCCTTCCAATATAAATCATCAACATGTGTTAGTAATCCAGAGAAAGGGGTTCCTAACTGATATATAGAGGTAGTGTTTTTACATCATCAGTCACAATACATACTAATTGAGGGGCTCTTTCAAAAAATATATTGTAGGTTTTAGGGAAAACAGTCCATTCACAATAGCTGATGAGGTTCTCCAATAAGCAGGATTCCGCAAATTCTAGAAGTTCGTCCACATAGCAGTCCCTTGTCAACCTTGTCACAACCTATCAGTAAGTGGTTGTGACTATTAAAGTAACACATGAAATTGGTACATGATACTTGCGTTCAAGGCTTGAGCTATTTCTTTACCAGTGCTGTGTAATCTAGCAGACAGATAAACCTTGTCTATAGAGAGGCAAAGTTAAGAAAGAACAGGCCTTGTTTATCGGGCAGGCAAAGTTATCCTGAGTTCAGGTCCAGCTTAGGTTTCTCCAACTGAAAATTCCCCAGTCGATTTCTTCATATTTTTCTGTTAATTGTAACATATCCTTGAAGGTTGAAGAGTGAATGACAATCCACATTACAGTCAGGCTTCCAAGAATAATCTATTCAGGAGATAACAGTGGGTTAATGGCACATATTTTCATCTTTTCTGTCCGGGGGTCATCACTAATACAGTATGATCCTTCCCCTGTGCAATCACATCAGCAAGTGTGGGAGGACCTCTAGGCTGCTTCACCAAGACTTTAGCTCCAACTGCATTTATTTCATTTGTGGGTCTAAACTCACCATCACTTCTGTTAACAAAGTGGGAGGTTCTCCTTTTTGTATTTTGCCAATTACACATGAAAGGGCTTCCCTGGTGGTTCATCAGTGAAGAATCCACCTGAAATACAGGAGATGCGGTTTGATCCCTGAGTCAGGAGGATCCTCTAGAGGAGGAAATGGCAACCCACTGCATTATTCTCGCCTGGGAAATCCCATGGACAGAGGACTCTGGCAGGCTACAGTCCATGAAGTCCACAAAGAATCAGACACAGTTTAGTGATGAAACAACAACAATTACACATGGAAGAATCAGCAATTGGGCAATTTGATCATGTTGATTAATAAATAGATCATCCTTTCCTTCATTTTGTAGAATTACTTGGATTTCTTCTTGGTAGTCTGGGTCTATCACTCCCCCCAAGGACACAGGTCCCTCTAAACGCTAACCTGGAGCATTCTTTGATTAATCCAAAGTGTCCAGGAGGCATTTTAATTCCAATGCCAGTTGAAATAACACATATCAATCTTGATATCATATCAAATAACACAACACAATCAATCTGAACAAGTCTGTGTTCAGATATAGAGTACAAACCCAGTCTGGCAGCCTCAGGAGTAGCTCAGAAAGGAGCTAATACTCCTGGGCTAATTTCCCAATGCTCAGTTGTTTGGGGATGGAAGTCTATTTTATACATCTGTAACTTGGAATAGTCATTCTCATCAAAGGAGTTTCTGATTCTCCTGGATGTTTATCATTTAAAATATTGAGGGCAATATTCAAGTTAGTCCTCCAATCTTTATAACAGCTCTCTCCAAGTTTAATTAATTGCTGTTTAACAAAACCATTCATTCTTTCAATCAAACCAGCTGTTTGAGGATAAGGAATACGAAAGATCCATTATATATTATGTTCCTGTGGAAGCTCTTATATTAATTTACCTTTAAAATATGACCCATTGTCACTCTGAATTTGAAGTAGAATACTATAATATAAATTATCTCCAATGTTTTAATAGTATTAGTCTGACTGGCTTTGCTGAAGGGAATGACCACTAAACACCCAAAATAGGTGTCCACAGCAGTACACAAGTGTTGACATCCTTTATCTTGAATTAATGGGCCAATATAATCAATTTTCCATATTTGCCCAGGCTTCTTATCAAGTGCCAATTGTCCTTCGACTAATTGTGTCAAGTTTCTATGCTTGATATGTTGACAAATTGGACATTGTGAAATAGCAGATTTAATGAGATCCATAGTTAAGGAAGTACCTGTATCCTGAATCCACCTGTATGTTGCTTTTTCTCCCAAATGGCCACATTTTTTGGTGTGCCCACAAAGTCAAACCTTTTAAGTCATTGGAGTCTGGATCAACTTCTACAGCTTGGATTCAGGTTTGTTCCTCTGTAATAGTTATACCATCGTTCAGTAGAATTTGGAACACTGTGAGCATCTACATGAAAGACTAAAACTTTAGTAGTTTGAACGATTTCCCAAATGTCAAACCATAATTCCTTTCCCCATAGCTCTTTGGAGTGAGTTTGTCAGTTATTCCTTACCCTTGTGCTAAGTTGCTTCAGTTGTGTCCAATTCTTTGTGACCCCATGTACTGTAGCCCACCAGGCTCCTCTGTCCATGGGATTCTCCAGACGAGAATACTGAAGTGGGTTGCCGAGCCCTTCTCCAGGGGATCTTCCCAACCCAGGGATTGAATCCACGTCTCCTACTTCTCCTGCATTGGCAGGGGGGTTCTTTACCACCTAGGAAGCCCCATTTTTTACCTACAGGGAAAGCCAAGTGGCCAATCCATTGATTGACCAAGAATTTGTGTATATATGGCACTCATTCCCTTGCTTTAATACCTGATAAACCACATATAACTCAGCCAATTTTACCTTCCTCAGTAGTTGTCAGTGATTTAGTAGTGACCAGATTATGTGCCACCACTTTCCAATAGTGAATGGATCCTATATATTTAGCTGATCCATCAGGAAACATATATGCTGTTTTTCTAGTACAGTTAAAGAGACAAAAGTTTGTGTTATTGTTTAGTCGTTAAGTCATGTCTGACTCTTTTGTGACACCATAGACTGTAGCCAGTCAGGCTCCTCTGTCCATGGGATTTCCCAGACAAGAATACTGGAATGGGTTGCCATTTCCTTCTCCAGGGGATCTTCCCCACCCAGGGATTGAACCTGCACCTCCTGCATTGCAGGCAGATTCTTTTCTGCTGAGCCACCAGTGAAGAGTCCAAGGGCTTTCTCCATTTTACAGACAACTCAGTTATCTCAGGCCTAACTATAGCTTTTAATAGAAATTTTGGAAATCTTTAGTAGGAACTTCAGAAATCTTTTCATTTAAGGCAGCAACCTCATGTGGCCCAGGTTTGGCTTGGTCCTGAATATACCATTTCCATTTCATTATGCTGGATTCCTGAGCTTGCCCAATCCTGTGGGTTTTGGGAGAACTTTGTACCCATTGCATGACTAGCACTTGAGGTCTTAATATTACGGTATGATTCATGGTCAATTATTCCATATCAATCAAAGCCCAATAATAGGCCAATAACTGGTTTTCAAAGGTAGTGTTATTTCTTCCAGCCTCTGGAAATTTCCTACTTCAGAAGCCCAAAGGCACTCTTTTGTCTTGCTGTTTTTGCTATAAGCTTCAATTAGCATATAGTTCATTGATATATACATGTAATTTTATGTCCCTTTATTGTAGCTCATGGAGTATCTGATAATAAAACTAGAATTTAATATTTAGTATAACATAAAATTTGTGTATGTATGTGTGAGAGAGGGCATTAACCCTGTAGCCATGGAAGGCTTTATCCCATTAAATAAAAAATGAAGTTTGTCAGGGAACTGGAAAAAAACAAGAGGCTATCTTGGATTTCCATAGCCACAACTGTTTGATTTATAGCTATTGTTTACCCATTTTAAATTCCTTGATTTAGGAGTAGACTGTTGCCATGCTCTGAGGACATCAGGATAGCAAAGTCTGACAATGAGGGGTAAATTTTTTTCTGTAGAAGCAGCGTGAGCCGTAAATTTTTTTCTGTAGAAGCAGCGTGAGCCTTATCTGTGTGTGTCACAATCTTCATAGATTATTGTGAAATAATATTTACTTTGCCAAGTAACAAAATATTTTAAAAACAAATATAAATCACTTAAGGGCAAAGAAATTCACATAATCTGTTATCAAAAGCCACATTACAAGAAAACTTTTTTTCTCTTAAAATAGAAAACCAAATTCCAGTCTTATACAAACTTACTGTTAATAAGTTTTTTTTTTTTAATTTCTTTTTTTTTACTTTTTTATTAGTTGGAGGCTAATTACTTTACATCATTACAGTAGTTTTTGTTATACATTGATATGAATTAGCCATGGATTTACATGTACTCCCCATCCCAGTCCCCCCTCCCACCTCCCTCTCCACCCGATCCCTCTGGGTCTTCCCAGTGCACCAGGCCCGAGCACTTGTCTTATGTACCCAACCTGGGCTGGTGATCTGTTTCACCCTAGATAATATACATGTTTCAATGCTGTTCTCCTGCAGTTTTTGTTTATCTAGTTAATTTTAGTTTAATCTTAGAAAGTCCTTTCTGTAAATCTTGAAGAGGTAGCATTTTTGCAAAGACATCAGAATGAAACCATAGTTCTCTCTAATGACGAAAAGGCTTTAAAAGACAGTTTAAAAACTTATTACAATGCAATCGACAAAGTAACTTGGTTACTGCTGTGACACGTCACACTTTAAGATAGTAACTAAAATTATGACTGATAATATTTTACCAGGACATATCAGATCTTTTTGAATTCTGTATAATTTCTAGAATATCTATATTAGTAAGATTTACCATACAATATAACCTAAGAAGATTTTTTACTTATTTGACAGCACTTCTCATGTACCTATAATATAATGAAACTAATTAGTTTAATATCTTTCTTTGGGATGCTGCAGGGGCCTTCTGAAGCACCCTCAAAGTTAGCTAGAAGTCAAAAGAACTTCATTAGAATTTGATCTTAGGAAGTTCTGTCAGAAATATCAAAGAGTTTAGAACACTCAGTCAGATAAGATCATAGGTCACTATGAAGCAATAGTTATTCACTCAACTGAAGTAACAATAAAAGATTTCGAAAGCAAATACAGAACAAATCACTTAAGAGGTAAAAAACTTATCAAAAGACAATTCAACATCCCAAGAAAACTTGTACCATGCATAAGATTCTTTTCTTGGGGTCCACTTTCCACAAATCCTTCTTATCACTTTCTATAGTAAACACTTTATTCTCCTGTTCAGAAGCAGACACCTGTAAGTCAGACCTATTTATTTTTCCTTTCACAAAATGCAATTCCATTCCTCATAACTTATCTCACTTTCCTTAAGCAACCATAAACTGTCCTTTATATTAGCATTCTGTAGATTGGTGGACATAAATACCAGTGATAATTTCTAAAAATTTTTGCTTTCTTAGAGAACATCTCAGGATGGTACCAAACATATTAATTAATACTTCTAAACCCTTCACTTCTCTATAAAAAAGAAAGCCAGTGTTTAGTAATTGCTGTTTTAGCATATTATTTCATTTGGAAATAGCCTAATTATTCAAACTTCCATTATTTAACCTAATTTAGCACAGCCCTAGAATTCAAGTTATCAAAACCTGGAGAAACTGTTTTAGGTAGACATTCCTAAAGCATAATTATTCTTAATAGAGTTTATCTAAAAGCTCTTATCTCATTTACATTTTTTTTCCTTAAAAGTTTATTCAGATCAACTTTCTTTGTAAAGTGGACTCAATATCTGGCCCAACTGTGGAATATGATGTTGCCAGAAGCCAAATAGCCCTATAAATTTTGAGCCTCCCTTTTTGTCTAGGCAGTTTTAAATTTCATTATCTTTTGTTTAGCCTTATGTAACATCTCTCTATATTATTTAGCCCATTGTATTTCCCAAAACTTTATAGTCTGGGCAGGGGTCCCTGAACTTTGGAGGGATTAATCTCCTATCCCAAGCACTGGAGTCCCAGTCTACCCCTGCATTAGCTATTATCAAATGAACTCTCTTTTTGTTAATTTTGTTGCACCTCTTTCAATATTCAGCTTGTGCAAACTTTACGGTGACTTTTTTGGCTACCAATTGGAAAGTGGAGACTTGGTCAGCTAAAATGTAACTTTGACTTTGTAACATGGATAATTGTCCTTGCAAATCACATAATTCTTTAACTGTGACTTCTCTTCAACCAGTTTTAATTTGGTTTCCTGTACCTTATGGTAAGTAGAGAGGAGGATCCAGCCTCTCTGACCCAGTGAGGTCCATTCTTGTCCTTTCTCAATTGGCACAAGCCAAACTGGCACAAACATTCAATAACTTCAAAAGATTTGGCCTGCTTTAATTTGAGGTTCCATTCTCACACAATCCAGTGGATATGCCCCATTCAGTAGCTAATAAGCAGTAAGGCAAATCTTCCCCTCAGGGAATGAAAACGTCATTAATCTTAACCTCTTTCTTCTTAAAGAGTGGCATTTTGTTTCACAAATCCTGCTCATAGCACCAATTTATGTTTTGCCCAAAGTTTGACTTCCATTTCAGGTTTGAAAGGTTATACACAAATAAATAATCTCAGTATTTAAAACAGAAGTGTTTAAATTAATTTCTAAGTACAATCATTAAAAGAAAAGAGAAATAGAAACCATAGAGAAGAGGAACATCACATACATCAGCAAATTGGGCCGACCAACATTTAGATTTAAGCAGCGCACTGAGAAGCCCCAAGTAAAAGCAATGTGAAGTCCCAATTAGGAAAAAGTCCGGGGTAAGACTTCAAGCTGCTGTTTGGGGGGTTCCCACTTATAATCCCAGGCTGCAAACTAATATCATCATCAGTTCATGCAAAAATGCAGCTCTGGTCTTACTTTAACATTTTTACAGAACGCTGCTTGTTTTATCTTGTGAGTCATAGTGAAAGTGAAAGTCGCTCAGTTGTGTCTGACTCTTCAAGACCCCATGGACTATAGCCTGCCAGGCTCCTTTGTCCATGGAATTCTCCAGGCCAGAATACTGGAGTGGGTAGCCATTCCCTTCTCCCGGGGATCTTCCCAATGCAGGAACTGGACCTAGGTCTCCCGCATTGCAGGCGGGGTCTTTACCGTCTGAGCCGCCAGGGAAGCCCATAAAATTTTTGTTAACTTCAGGCATGGTTGGCCAGACCTCCAGGAGCTCAAGAAGTCCCATTCCGTTTCTTATCTAAAGTACTGCCTGACTTGCTGTGCTTGTGGGTAAGCACAGAATCTGAGCAGTGTCCAGGCAGGTCAGAAGCAGGTCAGAGGCCTGCTCTCCTGCTTCTGAAGCCTGAACAAGACTTCCTCCATTTTAATTTACCTACAGGACTCTCCTGGACGCTCCCCAGTGTGATCAGGTGGCTGGAGGCAGAGATGATAGATGACTTTGGTACCACACAAGCTTAATATCACATGCCACTTCTGCTGCTCATTTTGTTTGGGTAATTACTGTCCTTAGACAGTAATTTTGTCTCTGAGTTTCCGTTTTCTCATCTGTAAAATGGGAACAATAATGTCTTCCTTTCTGGGTTGCTGTGACGAAGTGAGAATATATGTGGTTCCTGGGGGCCCCTAAGTTAACTGGATGAACTAAAGGTAGGGAAACAGCTTAATACAGTCCTCTTGCTCCCACATATGTAGATAGAACAAAACATTATCAAGAGAAGAGAGGAGGCTATGTCTCTGGCTGCACAAACTGAGAAGCAGCCTAATCTGCTGCCTCTCTGTGCCTCCTAATCTCCTGTTCCTGATAGTCACTCTCCACTAAGTGCTCTCCTGTGAGGCAGGTGAGTGCTGATGGGGACTCCGGTGGCATCTGGATGTGTCTTCATACATGCCTCTTTCCCCTCACAACTTCCTGCCCCAGCTATCTCTCTTCTGTGCATCAATGTCTTCTAGAGCCTTGCTCTAGCATCTGCATTTTAAAAAAATTCCCACTTCAACCGTGTCCCGCTTCCCTCGGCTGGCGGTCCGGCTGCCGGGAGGGGTCTCTTCCCACAAGGGCCCGGCACGGGCGCCCTCATGGCCGAGGTGAAGGTGAAGGTGCAGCTGCCCGACGCGGATCCGGTGGAAATCGAAAACAGGTAAATCGGGGAGTGAGGCTCGTTCCCCGTCTCTAAAGGCCCCTTTTCTCCCGGACCCTTCTCTCGTCTCCGGAAGACGGCACACTTAAGAAGTTCAGAGCTAGTCGGACAGTTGACGAGATTGTGTGGCCGGCCTTTCCCTGGGTCTGTCAGGGAAGCTGTCTACTGAGGCGCACCTTTCCTTAAGGTGATCCACGCTCAAAGTGAAGACTCGGCGTTTCCCTCCGGGAAAGTGTTAGTCGCTTGGTCGTGTCAGACTCCTTGCGACCCCATGGGGTACTGGTGTAAACACGTTCTGATCCAGGATCGCCCTTGTTACCAAGGAACTCCCGTGATGGAAGGTTTAACCAGACTTAGGGTGCAGTTTTCGATTATGAAGCAACAGACACCAAATAATTTGAGCGCGATATTTAAGTGAAGTTTTTAGGGCACCCAACGCATCTTACGCTTACCCAAAGCATCTCCCAAAGCATCTCCAATACTCTGGGCACCTGATGCGAAGAACTGACTCTTTTTAAAAGATCCTGAAGCTGGGAAAGACTGAGGGAGAGAGGATAAGGGGACGACGAAGATGAGATGGTTGGATGGCGTCACCGACTTAATGGACATGAGTTTGAATAAACTCCGGGAGTTGATGATGGACAGGGAGGCCTGGTGTGCTGCAGTCCATGGGGTTGCAAAGAGTCGAACACGACTGAGCGGGTGAACTGAACTGAACTGAAGCATCTTACAATTTTATATTCTCTACCGTGCACTGCAGTGTTTAGGTTACCACAGAATTTATGAAGACCCCAGCTTTCTTAAACTGTTCCTTATTAGTAACACATATGATGATCATGTGACAAGGTGAAACTTGAGGTTTATTTTTGTTTGTTAGGGATAATTCCAAAAACAGGTCCCAGTTGTGGTGAATTGTCCTAAAAAAACTTTGACTTCCCTCCAGAAGTGTTTGATCTGCCTCCTGCTTACAGACTTATGGCTACCCAAGGCACTGTCTCTTCACTTTGTCATACTTGTTGCATCTGAGAAAATTGAAGCCTCAGCTTTAATGTGTTTTTCTGTGTTTTCATTTGATTTTTGTCCTAATTTAAAGTTCATATAAATAAGAAATGCTTCTCTTAAATACAATAAAAATGCAAACATGTACTTCAAAAAAAAAAAAAAAATTCCCAGAGGATTCAACCCCAGGAGATTCATGTGGGCTGAGAAGCACTAGATGGAGGTTTAGAGCAACTCCATCTAAAATGCATGAGATTCACAGCTTTCTGAGTTTGATGGTGTTTGATACTGTTACTGAAAATTTTATCTCAAGCCACAAGAGTATATCCACATAACTTTAGGAAATTGGTATTTCATTTAAACTGGGAGGGTATATTCCTGATCTCCACCATAAGACACTAACATTGATTTGCTTTAAAAAAAAGAAAGAAAGAAGAAATAATTTTAATCAAAATACTACAGAATATGATTTTAAAGGTACATCACATTTAGATTTGTAACAGAAGATTCTTCTCTATGCTTCTCTATTACCAGGTTAACCACTTTTAGTTTTTTATTTCTCCTTGTATTTACCTTTATGTTTCTATTGCTATTTCTTGAATATTTTTCCCCCTAAACTTTAAACTTTTCATTTTGTATTGGGGTATATTTCTTGGACTTTTATGTTTAGATTTTATCTGCAGATTTCCTGCTATGGAATTAAGGATTTAGCTTTCCTACCAGCCATCCCCGCAACATACACCAAAATACACATTTTGGGGGGAAATGTATATTTCCCCCTGCCATCCTCCCAAAAGAGCTTAATCACTAGAGTCAATATTCAGTTCTTATATTATGATCATGATTATTGTTCAATTTTTTGTATTTCCTGGATTTAGCAATTATTTTGTCATTTGCTTGGTTTTTAGGAAACTAGTTAATTCAATCCCAAAGCTTCCAAATGAACTAAATATTTTGCATATGTCTAAAAAGAGCAGATAATCAGTTTTATTTTCTTCTAGAGACACCCCTCCTGGAGTATCTATCTTTTGATTCTAGACTGGGGTTGCTTGCTTTCTTTATCTGGAAACATTGCTGACATCCCAGGTCTCTCTCATCATCGCTTTTCTGTTGTTAGCCTCACTTCTTTCCTAGTTTAGTTCATTATTTTTCTGAAGCACATCCTCCAGTAGCTTTCTAAGAAAGAGTGTATACAAGGTCAGGTTTTCGAGACCTTGTTTGGCTTAAAGCGTCTTTACCCTCATACTTAATAATCATGTAGACAGATATATGTTACTGCTGCTGCTGCTGCTAAGTCACTTCAGTCGTGTCTGACTCTGTGTGACCCCATAGACGGCAGCCCACCAGGCTTCCCCGTCCCTGGGATTCTCCAGGCAAGATAAAAAGCTCAATACTGATAGTGAAACTGCTGCTGCTGCTTCTGCTAAGTCGCACATCCCACAGATGGCAGCCCACTAGGCTTCCCCGTCCCTGGGATTCTCCAGGCAAGAACACTGGAGTGGGTTGCCATTTCCTTCTCCAATGCATGAAAGGAAAAGTGAAAGTGAAGTCACTCAGTCATGTCTGACTCTTAGCGACCCCATGGACTGCAGTCTACCAGGCTCCTCCATCCATGGGATTTTCCAGGCGAGAGTACTGGAATGGGTTGCCATTGCCTTCTCCAATGTTCAGTCAGTTCAGTTCAGTTCAGTTGCTCAGTCGTGTCTGACTCTTTGAGACCCCATGAATCCCAGCACACCAGTCCTCCCTGTCCATCACCAACTCCTGGAGTTTACTCAAACTCATGTCCACCGAGTCAGTGATGCCATGTTACTAAGTTGTAAACAATTTTCCTCAAAATTTTGTGGGTGTTGCTTTATTGTTTTGGGCTGGCTTAGAAAAAAGCAACCAATGAAAGGTCCCAAGGACTGGTGGCATTGGCTCTATCGTTGTTGAGCCCGCCATCACCAAATATGTCAAGGTCACTAGGCTTGAATCTTTGAACAGAGTCCCCTGGAGACAGATATGCAGCGAGACGCTTGTTCTGTCTCCTCCTCTCCTAGGGGCTGTATGGCCACGGTACCCCTACCCCTACCTCCATCAGTTTTCCTTCAAAATATGAGAACAAGAATTAAGTTCTCTCGGTTATGACCCATTTTCAGTCTTGCCTCTCAAGTCACTAAACTGAAATGTGCTGGAACCTCTGTGACCATTTATAGATTATCAGTGGAGACAGGTTTCTTTTCCAGATCAATCCCTTCATACATGTTCATTCTTCTTAATTTCATTCTTGGAGGGTAACCTTAACCTCCAATTTTGGGGTTCCTATGTTGTAGCCCTCTTACAGTCACATTCTCTGTGCAATTTCTGGAAAGCCAGTATCCAGAACACCTCCCACAAACCACATTACTTCTAACACCTAAACAGTCCCTCCTACCCCACCCCCATTTAGCAGGTCACGTGGTTACCCCACTCCAGAAAGTCTCAGGTTGCTTCCTGGCAGAGTCTATCTGTGCATTTCAGGACTGAAGTTCTGAAAAATCCCCCACATGAATGCCCACAGGCATCACCCTGCTCTCAAGGGAGAGAACTGGGGACAGACAGGTTGAGTGACTTGCCCCTGGACACCTAATCCTGGGAACCTGTGAGACAAAGAAAGTGGCTCTTCCTCTTTTGGTCAGCTGCCCAGGTGGTGATGGGCTTAGAATGCCTCCTGGCAACCCAGATCCACACGGGCCCCTTGGGTGGAGAATTAGCAAAGACAAAAGGATGAGTCTTAGCTCTTAAATGTCAGACCTCCTTCTGGCTACACCACCAGCTAATTATGAGGCCAGGGCCAGCATTAACAACCCCTACCCCACCCCACCCCGCTTACCCCAGGATCCTACCTGGCAATAGGTCACAATGCTCCAGCTGCCCAACCAACCAGAATGACCTACCAAAGTGGGAGGAGGTGAGGAGGGTTTGGTGAGTGGGTGTGTGAGGAGGGGGAGATTCCTAAACAGTCCAACTCCGCACTGCCTGAGCCTACCCTTGAGTTCTGCCAACACCCTCTCCCATGCTCCCACTCCCCGCCTCGCCCAGCACTTCCTGTAACCTCCACCTTCCTCCATGACGCACCTCTGCTTACCCAGGCCCGAAGCTGCTCTTTCTCCTACCCCAGTCCCTCCCAGGGGCATGGGTGCTGGGGAGGGATCGGCTAGTCCAGTGGGTCCATGTGTGTCCCCCTGGGGCCCTAGCTGGGCCCAGGTCCTGGACAGTGTCCTAGGACTGGGGGCACTGGGGCTGACAATTCGGGCCATCTTTTCCACAACTGGCCCAGCCTTGCTGCTGCTGCTGCTACTGGTCAGCTTCCTGGCCTTCGACATGCTCCGCCGGTAAGTGGACTGCAGCCTACAGGTTGGGCAGGTGAGCAAACCATCAGCCTCCCAAAGCCTAGCTGCCGCCCTTTCTCTCCACAGGCCTGCAGGTCCCACCTGGTCACAGCACACACATCTCACTGGGGGCCAGAGTCGGGGGGCCGGCGAGGGACCAGGGCAGCAGGAGGCTCCACCCGCGGTGGCAGTCTCAGGACGACTCAGCCTCCAGGAGGCTCTGCTGCTGCTGCTCCTGGGTGTGGGCTTGCTCCTGGGAGCCCGCGGTGTGCCCTTGGCCCTGCTTGCCCTTGCTTTTTGCCTCCATCCTTGGACCTGAGTGCCCTCCGGAAATACACTGGCCATGCTGTTTCCTCAGGCTTCCTTTCCTCCATCCTAGGTTGGGAAGATGGGAGGATACTCCTTTATCCCCCAGCCTGCTTCTCGGGGGACTTCTGGCCTCACAATGTGGACAGTGGATACCTAAGTCTGAGTCTGAGGGCATCAGTAAAATATGAAATAAGGGGCAGGGAGCCCAGTGCAGGGTATGGAGCCATCTCAAAACTTGTAAGTTGGGGGAGACTATTTTGGCCGCCTCTGTGATTCTAGAGAACTTCTGAAAGAATTATAAGAGAGTGAAGCAGGGCTGGATACAGGCCAGCAGGAAAGGGAGGGCTCCAAAGAGGGCTTTCCACAAGAAAACATGAAAGACTACATCTGTGGACTCACCAGGCTCCCCTAAAGCCTGAAGGGTCCACAAGAGAGGCTCAGGTAAACCTCACACCCAGCAGTGGTCTCCCTCTTGGCTGGCCTCCACCCTGACCCGGGTCACAATAGGGCTCCTTTGGGGAGGGTGGGGGCACTGAGAGTGGGGGCTCAACTCTGGCTGCCAGGCTGTCCTGGGTGCGGCAGGAAGCAACATGACTTAGGTGGTTCTGCCCAGAGGTAAGACCCCAGGTGAAAGCCCCACCACACCCATGCTGGTCCCTCCTGATCCCTGCACCCGCACCTGCCCTGAGGTCCCAGGCATCTCCAGGGCTGCTCCTGCAGCTGGCCTGGCCCTCTCCCTAGGTGCACCAACCACGATGCAGCAGCTACGAGTGGAGACAGATGCCATCGGGGCCGGCGAGGGGCCGCAGCGCGCGGTGCCCTGGTCAGCCTGGGTCTCCCGGGAGGGCTGGGTGCGCTGGTGCATGTGTCACGTGCCCCCGAGCTGGACCCAGTGGTGGGCTACGTCCGGCTGGCGGCAGCCGCTGCAGCGTGTGCTGTGGGGTCTGGAGGGGATCCTCTACCTGCTGCTGGCCCTGATGCTGTGTCACGCGCTCTTCACCACCGGCTCCCACCTCCTGAGCTCCCTGTGGCCTGTGGCGGCTGCGGTGTGGCGCCATCTGCTGCCGGCCATCCTGCTGCTGATGCTCAGCGCCCTGCCCGCGCTGCTCTTCACTGCCTCCTTCCTGCTGCTGTTTTCCACACTACTGAGCCTCGTAGGCCTCCTCACCTCCATGTCTCACCCAGGCAATGCTCAGGACTTGGACCAATAGAAGGGCAACCCCATCCCGCTGCTTGTGTCTGTTGAGCCCTGGCCTAGGGCCTGAGGCCCAGGGGAGAGGGAGGGCAGTGGGACCAGGGCCTTTCTGTGTCAGCAGGCCCCCGACCTACAGGCTAGCTGGGATTGGGTGGGACATGGGTGATATTGCTGGAGCTAGCAAGATAGACTGGCCTGACCTCTGGGCACCTCCCTCAAGCTGATGCTGCAGATACTTGGTGTGGAGGGCCAGAAATTTTGAGGAGATGTTAGGGCAGAAGGCTCAGCCAGGAGCGGAGCTTGGCCAAGCCATCAAGAGTTTCCACATGCATGTGCTGATGCTACTGGGGTCCCCTTAGCAGCTGGCAGCATCTTTTTCTTGCAGCTGCTCAATTGTCTCAGCTTTAGACTCATAGCAACTTCTACCTGTATTTACCATTCCCCCCACCAACCGCCTCTTTTCACTTGCCCAGGCTCTAGAAAGGGCTCAATGACAAAATGTAGCTGGGAGAGGACTAGCCAGAATCCTCATGAGACCTCAGGCTTCACCTTCCAGATGTTTCTGCCCAAGCATTCCCCACTCCCTAGACTTCCTACCTCCTGCCTCATCCACATCCCCAAGTCTGGGAAATGAGCCAACCAACACAGTGAGTTTCTCAGGGAAAACTTATTCTTTAAGACTCCTGAGGTTTGCTATGGAAAAACAAACAAGAAGTCCCAGTTCACCCACCTATGCAGTGTGTGACCTTGGCCAATTAATTCTTTTGAGCCTTGGTATTAAGTGGGTCCTGTCATGGAGCTGCTGTGAGTCAAAGGCAATAATAACTGTGTGTGAAGTACTTTGTAAAGACTAGAAAACTGTAAGATATTGTATGGAACTATAAAGAGCAGAAAGCTTCTCTAGGCCTTCAGAGAAATGTTCTGTCCTGGATACAGTTTGGACCCTACAATGTTAAGCGGAGGATGGATGAGTGTGAACAAGAGGTATAATGTCGTATGCCCTGAAATCTCAAAATATCCTGGTGTTGAACTCTTCTGACTGTGAAATGCTCAGTGGGGCTTGGTGCCGGGAGATGGCTTGCACAGCCATGTGAATGGGGAAAACATAGCCCATGGGTTTCTAAAACCAACCCAACAAGCTGTTTACAGCACCAGCAGAGCCTTGGAAGGTGGCATCCTTCGATGCCCAGGATGCTGGCTTTTCACATCTCAGCTAACCCTCCAGACAAAACAGTGAGTGATTAGTCACTACAAGTAAGATACATAATAGGTAAGACCCACCTACCTGACCCCCACCTAACACCAGGCCTCCACTTAATCCTTGACCCTCACCAATTCCTATCCAGTCTTGATCCCACTACATACATCACCTTAAAACCCTCGCTCCTATATCCCTCAACTAAAAGCCTCCTCTCTGGCCACCTAAATACTCAAGCCCTGTGAACCAGCCCCTAGAACCCACGTTCATTTTTGCTAAAACCCATTCACTGTGGAGTTTCATAACCCTGCGTGCCACTGATCAGATGCCTTCAGTATCAGCTCTTGAAACCCCAGACACAGTCCTTCCTTCCTTTTTCCTTCCTGTTCTCCCTGAAATATGGCCTGGTAGCAAGGTCAAGGCAGGCCATGGAGGTGGAAAAGCGTCATAGCTATCATGGGCTCTGGTGTATTAGCTCAAGCTGGGTTTGAATCCCAGCACTGCCACTTTCCAGTCCCACAGCTTTGGTAAAAATTGCTAACCCTTCTTGAACTTCATTTTTCTGTTGGTTAAAACAAAGGCAAGCACACCTGTCCTGGGGCACCCATGGAGCATCTGATATGTGGGCAAAATTCCTGGACTGACTCCTCACACCACAAACTGTAGTTATGCTATTACTATTCCATTTTAGAGATGAGAAATCAGGCTCAGGATAGCTACTTGCCTATGGTAAGGTCAGGTTGTTTGAGTCCTAGTCCAGCCTGACAGGCTACTAAAGAGAAGGAAATGAAGGAAATGAAGGAAATATAACCTCACTGAAGAGCCCAGGGCTTCTCAGTGCCGGTTCTTTAAGCTCCTGTCAGAGATGAAGCCCGGATGCCAATCTTGGACCCATCGCTAACATGGCTGTGCGTTGCTGGCCAGGAATATCACTCTGGAGCCTTAGGACCATTCTAATTGAGAGAGGAGGTTTTGGCCCAAACCAGACACACTGAGGGGCAGGGTTTTGGCAGGAGCGAGGCGAAAGCCGTCTTCCCTTCCCCGTGTAAAGGTATATCTTCTACCCTCCTGTATTGCTGGTGTGAGGTAGGGTGGCACAGGTAGGCCAGAGAGCAAATGGGCAATACCTATAAAATTAGATCAACACATAGCCTGTGACCCAAAATGCTATGTGACACATAGCAACCCAAGAAGAATTCTCACAGAGGCCCAAGATGGTCTTGCTCCTCAAAGTGTGGTCCCAAAGCCAACAGTATCAGCATCACCTGGAAACTGGCTACACATGGAGAGTTTCAAGCCTCACCCAAGGAGTCATGAATCAGAGCCTGCATTTTTAACAAGACTCACAGGGGATACACTGGGCAAAGTTTGAGAAGCACTGCAGGTGAGGGAATATGTTGAAGGGATACCATCTGAGAATGGACCACTGTGGAGATGAGGCAGCAGTTAGAAGTGGTGGAAGTTATACAGATTGATCTTGAAATCCCAGCGTTGAGTGAAAAATAGCTGAACGAGAAATAACAGAATTCTTTTCACACAAATTTAAAATGCATGGCAGCAAAACCAGACACTTAAAAAAGAAAAAAAAGAATGAAATGGCCGACTCCAGAATCAGGCAAATGGGACAGAGTATATAGGTAAAGGGAAAGTGAGGAACCTGGCAGAGAGGAAAGAAAAACATAATTCCTGAAATTACTTTAAATGTAGACAAAGTTATCCATTTAGACTTAAATCGCTTAATAATGCAAGCCTGGGGAGAATGAACACGCCGGAATGAAGTTCTAAGCCTTTCCATTTGGGCCAAGAAGCTGTTCCACAGGCCTGAGTGACCAGGACTTCTTTGCGGGCCCGACCCCGCAGCATGCTCAGGTAAGGTTGGGGTAGGGGTGGGTGGGGATCCAGTAACTCCTGTAGCCTGGCCGGAGAAGTAAATCCGATCAGGCAGAGCATAAAGAACCGGAGCGGAGGAGGTGTCAGCCGCGAGGGGTCTTGCATCTGAGAAAGTGAGACAGGTTCCACAGCCGCACACGCACCGTGGGGGGCGCCTAGGAGCAGGAGTGCCGGGTAAGACTTTCTTCTGCCCCCAAGGACCGGGAGCAATGAGTAAGAGCGGCCAGGATGCGGGAGGGTCCCAGAGGACGGTGTCACGGGAGCTCACAAAGCTGGGGGCGCCACTTCAGCTAGAGGTGTGAGTGACCACCCTGGTGGGAAAAAGAGTGATCCCTGGAAGGAGTCAGGGCGGCGCCGGGGAACCGCTCTGGACCTGCTACGGGGAGCCGGGAGGGGGCGCTCTTACCCAGACGCGGCTCTGAGTGCGCTAGAGGGTGAGCAGAGGACCCTGCTCGCAGAGTCTGTGGCCACGAACCGGGGCCGTGGGGGCAGTGGGGCGCGGGAGGGGGCGACTGGGCCCCGAAGGGAGGAGAAAGGGGGGTGGGCTGCGTTGCTCTGGGAGGTTGCCCCAGGTGCAGGGGCCAGGTAAGGGGCGCATAGGCTCAGGGGCACCGGAGAGGGTCCGGACAACGGCTGGAGAGCTCCAAGCTGGCGCGTTGACCGTGGAGGCAGAGAGCGGTGGGCAAGGGCCTGATATTGGGAAGAAAATCCCAAGCCTAGCCAGAGATCAGAGGGCTGTGGGCACCCACACAGGGAAGTGCCAGCTATCCCCGTAAATCAACACCTTCCCTCCACCTTCACCCCCCGCTCCCCCTCCCCCGGAATCATAGCCTGCAGACTCGATGCCAGGCGTGCTCCCCTGGCGGAGACCTCCAGCTCTGATTTCGAAGAGTCAGACTTGGCTGAGTGTGGGACGGAAGCGAAGAGCAGGAGACTTGTCTCACGGCCGGGTCCTAAAACCAGCAGTGGTTGAACTGGCAGATCCTGGGGCCAGGAAGGAGCTTCTCCCGCCCACTGTCTTCACAGCGGCGCCTTCATGGACTACAAAATCTCTTTAACCCAAATCCCTAGCCTGGGTCCCCTAGCCAAAACCCAGAGACAGCAAGGGCAGAGCTGAGAATCCTGGAGAAGGAAGGGCCCAATCTCATGAGCTTCACTGACCCCGACTGCTGTTCTAATCCTAGTCTATTATTCCATTCTTCCTAGGGTAAAGAGCTGTATTTTGTGAGGTTCTGTCAGGATCTAGATGTACATCAGCCCACTTTGGACAAGTCATTTTCTGCGGTGCCAACATCTCTATTACCTTTCAGTCATTTTCATCTTAAAAATAAAAGGACTTAAGAGGTGTAGCTTTTACCATATTTTCTGGCCTGTGTCTTAAATGTCTAACCAAAATACAGTTTTAAAAAACTGATATGTGATACTGTGTACTTAAAAATATTTGTAACATATATGAAAGTTGTAAAGCCCTCTAAGCCCAAAGATACCACCTCTGTCTAAAAGCCAGAAATAAGAGCTTTCTTCGTGTTCATCTGATTTGTACCAGCTGGAATTCCCAGACAATGACATATGGAAATACTGCTTGCTGGTACATTTGACTTGATCCTGATTTTGAAAGAACTGCTTCTAAGTTTCCACCATTGAGAATTACTGTAAAGTTTTGATAGTTCACCTTTATCCAGTCAAATTCCTTCCTATTCCTAGTTTGCTAGCAGTTTTGATCATGAGTGGAGGTTGAATGATAAAAAATTTTTTGCATCTACTACAACAACTATTTTGCTCAAAATTCTCCAAGCCAGGATCCAACAGTACGTGAACCGTGAACTTCCAGATGTTCAAGCTGGATTTAGAAAAGGCAGAAGAACCAGAGACCAAATTGCCAACATCCGTTGAATCATTGAAAAAGCAAGAGAGTTCCAGAAAAACATCATCTACTGCTTTATTGACTACACCAAAGCCTTTGTGTGGATCACAACAAACTGTGGAAAATTCTTAAATTTGGGAATAACAGACCACCTTACCTGCTTCCTGAGAAATCTGTATGCAGGTCAAGAAGCAACAGTTAGAGGTGGAACAACAGACTGGTTCCAAATAGGCAAAGGAGTATGTCAAGGCTGTATGTTGTCACCCTGCTTATTTAACTTATATGCAGAGTACATCATGCAAAATGCCAGGCACAAGCTGGACTCAAGATTGCAGGGAGAAATATCAATAACCTCATATGCAGATGACACCACCCTTATGGCAGAAAGTGAAGAAGAGCTAAAGAGCCTCTCGATGAAAGTGAGAGAGTGAAAAAGCTGGCTGAAAACTCAACATTCAGAAAACGAAGATCATGGCATCCGGTCCCATCACTTCATGGCAAGTAGATGGGGAAACAGTGAGACTTTATTTTTGGGGGCTCCAAATCAGTGCAGATGGTCACTGTAGCCATGAACTTAAAAGACGCTTGCTCCTTGGAAGAAAAGCTATGACCAACCTAAACAACATAATAAAAAAAAAGAGAGGTATTACTTTGCCAACAGAGGTCTAGTCAAAGCTATGGTTTTTCCAGTAGTCATGTATGGATGTGAAAGTTGGACTATAAAGCAAGTTGAGTGGCGAAGAATTGATGCTTTTGAAATGTGGTGTTGGAGAAGACTCTTGAAAGTCCTTTGGACTGCAAGAAGATCCAACCTGTCCATCCTAAAGGAAATCAGTCCTGAACATTCATTGGAAGGACTGATTCTGAAGCTGAAACTCCAATATTTTGGCCACCTGATGTGAAGAACTGACTCACTGGAAAAGACCCTGATGCTGGGAAAGATTGAAGGTGGAAGGAGAAGGGAAGACAGAGGATGAGATGGTTGGATGGCATCACCAACTCGATGGCCATGAGTTTGAGCAAGCTCCAGGAGTTGGTGATGGACAGGGAAGCCTGGCATGCTGCAATCCATGGGGTTGCAAAGAGTCAGACATGACTGAGTGACTGAACTAAACTGACAAGGACTGTTTATTCTGCTTTTATTCTGTTTATGTGGTGAATTAAATTTTTAGGTGTCTTAATGTTAAACCACTGTTGGAAAGAAGCACATCCTGTTTTTCTTGATTGTTTGGCTGCACTGCATTACTTTCAGGATCTCCTGACCAGGAGCTGAACCCAGGCCACAGCAGTGAAAGCCCAGAATCCTAACCACTAGTCCACCAGTGAACTACCAGTGAACCACCAGTGAACTACCCTAGCTCCCTTTTAACTTACATATAATCATACATTTTACATACAAATAAGTGTACAAGTATTGAGGGTATGGTGCAATAAATTTTTACATATTTGTTGGTTTGTGTGTGTGCCCAGGTAACTACCACCCAGATAGAACTTTCTTATTGTTCCAGAAAGTTCCATCATTCCCTTTCCCAATCAGTATCTCCCTCAAAAGGTAATCACGATTCTGATTTCTATCAGCATAGATTGTTGAAACCTATGCAGAATCCATGCAGCCTATTGTTGAAATTGTGCAGAATAAAATCATACAAAATGTACTCTAGTATCTGACTTCTTTCAGGATTACATCTGTGAGATTTACCCATATCTTTGCATTTATCAGTATTTTGTTTTCCTTTATATCAGTCTCATTGTATGGGAAAACTATTTATTCACTCTTGCTGATGGACATTTGGCTTGTTTTCGAGTTTTGGATACTATGAAAAAACATTCTATGAATATTCTTGTGCAAGTTTTTTGGTAGATCTGTCTAGATGTACAGATCTCTTGAAGTGAAATTGTCAAATCACAGAGAATGTAAATGTTCAACTTTAGTAAATGCTGCCCAATAATTTCCAAAGTGAGTTGTACCATGCAGTGTTTCCACTGCTTTTTTTCAGCCTATCCAGCTAATTCATATGGTATT